ATAATATGTATTAATTTAAAGATACGTTTTAAAAAAAAAAAATATTATTTTTTAACGAGTCTAACAAGGGAACGTTCTACATTTCAAAAGTAATATTAAGAAACTGACGCTACCAGTCAAGAGACCTCGTTTGAAATAGATATTCTACACTGAAAAAAAAGATTGACTGCTGCTGCAAATTAGGTGGCAAAATATGGCATAGCATTTTTAATTAGCTGCAACAGCCAATTTTTGGTTGCTGCAGCTAATTTTTGGTTTTGTTAGCCTATCCGCAATGTCAGTATAGGATTTCGATTGGCTAACGCAACCAAAAATTGGCTGCTGCAGCCAATTAAAAATGCTATGCCATATTTTACTATTTACTGCAGCAGCCAATCTTTTCTTTCAGCGTAGATGGTCAAATCTTGGGATTCTATGAATTTTGTATCTGATTGGGCCAGAACATGTTTGGCCATTTTAAATTAGACAAAATATCTCGAGAATAATTCATTAAAAAAAATATTTCAAATAAAAGTTGTAGGATTTGAAGAAGACCTATTTAGATTTTGAGTCCAGAGATTTATTAGTTCATTTGACCTTCTAGCATACTTATTTCAAACGTCATATTTCGATTGGTAATGTTAATTTTTTTTTATCACTTTTGCAATGTAACACGTTCCCTTGTATGAATGTGTGAAATTTAACATCATTTTACAAATTATCATAAATTTGTAATCAATTACGGGACAAATCAATTTTTCAAACTGGTCGAGGAAACTCTCTGTAAAAACAATTTTTATCTCTGTAAAAATAACGCTATAGATAGACAATATTGAGAATTGTATCGAAGGATATTGTCGTACCCGACAATATCCTTCAATAAATTCTAGTGAGCATCGAATCATATTTAAAATTTAATAACACGACGACGTAAAACCGGCCTTGGTAGACCAATGACATCTTCATCAAAGTGTTTAAAAACCGTTAACCTTCGCTTGAAGCGGACAACGATTCAGTCGCTCCTCTCAAAACACTCTCTTAACTGTTTCACGATATAATATACTACTGCGTTTTTTAAAACATATATTTTAGCAGCCTTTTCAAAAAATATCTTGGCCACGAAATCTTTGATAAGCTTTCAATAGATTTTAACATCAATAATAAATATCACAATTAGACGGTATATAATTAATCATATTATATCAAATATTATATTAATTAAATTATTGTATAATTATTGTCGAAATGCATGACAACTCTTTTAAGCTATTTCAAAGTCAAAACTTATATTGAATATTTTCGGTCAGTTTTAATCAAAGATTAAAGCATTTTAATTATTAATAAAAGAAAAAAGAAATTATGTTACAATATCACTTATTATATACTAGTATATATATTTTAATATAAATATACTAGTATATATATTATATACTAGTATTATATACTAGTACATATATTTTAATATCAAAATAAAAAATTACATCAACGCTGAATTTTATCTGGCTAATTGTGTGAGACAGTTTTGTCTGTTTATTAAACGATTTGTGTGTATGACATGCGATCGTAACAAGAAATAGAATTGTGATTTTCTACAGCATCCTCGACATAAATAGGTATACTTTGTACAAGCGATGTATCACGATAACAAACAGCGCAAAGTATAATCAACTCGATTTGTTGAAAATGACTTTATACGAATTCACGCGATTGCATTGTAGTGCATTCAAGACATATTCGTGGCGACGTAACATCTGCGACGATTTGTGTGTTCTTTCAATAAGAGCGAGTTGCGGTCATGATTTCCTTCTCTCGTGACTCACACCAAACGCCAATGGTATAAATTGCAATTGATACATTCATTCGCGGGTCACGCGAAAACCGTTTGAAAAAGAAATTCCGGAGCGCTTTTAAATTTTCGAAAATTTTTCTCGATACTGAATGTATTCTCCTACCATCGAATTTCTTCAGTTATTTTTTAATTTTAAGATGAATTAAGTTTAATTTTAAGTCTATTGGACCCACTCAATTATAAATCTCTTCGTCAAAAGCCATCAACTCTGAAGATTAAGAGAAATTATTAAATCAATTTTGAGGAACCAAAATGACATAATCCGTATAAAAAGATTGAATACTAAGTATATTTTAATAAAAATAATCCAAATTTGTAGATGTAATATAAAGAAAATTGAGTTGCTTGATATTTTTGACGAAGAGATTTGACCCACTCCATTGGACGCACTCAATTATAAATCTCTTCGTCAAAAATGTCAAGCAACTCAATTTTCTTTATATTACATCTACAAATTTGGATTATTTTTATTAAAATATACTTAATATTCAATCTTTTTATGACGAATTATGTCATTTTGGTTCCTCAAAATTAATTAGTGATTTTGAATTAAAGTAAATTAAATGAGTCACAGACTCAGCAAAAATCAGTAACCGCGCGTTACAGATTTTAGTGTCTGCTTCAGAGGATTAAATAGACGATATATTATAGAAATCTAGAAAAAAAATGCCTATTTCGTTTTACAACAATAATATAACAGAATAAAAATTAACGTAAAACAGATTAACTCTTTTCATTCATATAAATTAATTAAATATTATTAAGATTAGAAACAGAACCGGTTATATGAATACATCATCAATTAAATAAGAGAAGCGCCAATAGTCAAAGTTAGATATTGGAATAATACATTTATATACGAGTATATTTTAAAGAAATGCATCTAAAATATATGATTGCGTGCCGATTAATTAAATATAAAATGTCGCTAACATTATAAATTATCGATTGCGTGAGCCCTGTAAACGAAAAATGAAAATAAAAAGAACAATAAAACGCGAGGACTTTACGTCCATGTTCGTATCCTTCGTCTTACCCTGTTCCACAATTGTGTGAACCGCGATAAAACGTGTTCGGAAGAAACGGAATGCTCGTACTCACTTTCGTTTCGCGCTTCAAGTACTCTCGTTCTCGGGTTTACTGGCGGCTCACGAGTCCAGACGGGCGGCGTGTTTATCCATCGTCGTCAGGTCACCATCAGAACGGGGGCGTACGGAATCGCGGTTCACGATTTGACGATTCGCGAACCCATAGAAGTCACGGTCCTCGATGTTACAACGGGTTCGACGTACTCGCGGGAAAACCGTCGTTGTCGTTGGATAACGGTGGATGGTCTCACGGCGACCACAATACGCGTGGTGTTCAATGCACACGCCACGGTGTAACACACGAAACTGCCGGTCTGAAGGAGAACTCTCCTCTTCGGTGCCCCGGTGGCATAAGGTGGCGGCGGTAGAGAGGAAGGAAGGCCAGGCTGCTAGCCGGCTGAACGACTTAACGGCGAGAAGGAGAGAGGAATTCGTTTTCTGGTGTGCGTGTGTATATGACGCACGCGAGGTGCCCTGTGTGAACCTTGCGGGGTCCTGCGGGGCCGTGGGTTTCGTGGGTCTTGGAGCGGATTCTCATAGCGTGACGGTTGCAACCAAGTCTGACGTAAGGGGACTTTTTTATTTTTATTTTATATATACAATCGAATTTCTTTAAATTCTTAAGAAGTTGGAGGTCGGCCTTACATCATAGAGCCCTACTTGTTATATAAATAACAGGTTTAAATAGCACATAAATTCGTAAAATAGAAAATTTTTATATTTTTAATATCTTTTTAAATAGAAATATATGTATTATATATAAATAGAATACCTCCACCATAAGTGTGATGTATTTTTCGTATTTACTATATTAAATTTAGAGGCGCAAAGATAAATTATATACATGTAAAATTAAATATTTACGAAACAAATCATTTTCATGTTCTACAATATAAGTTATATGCATGCAGTGTTTCGTATTTCATTTGGACTTTTTTATTCGAATTTGAATTGATTTTTACGTCTATATACTCGATGTATATAATAAATTCATATTTTTCATATTTTTCTTAGAATTAAAATCCAAAACAAAATATTTTAAAGTTCTTAATCTTGTTCTGAGAATACTAGAATACATATTGTAATCTAATATTCCCGAGTCTTCTGTGTACGTCTAATTGACCCGATGCTATCGATTACAAACTGAACGCATTGCCTTACTAACACTAACGTGCCAAGTATCGTTACAAATTATTGTAGAATTGTCATCTGACATTGTGCAAAGTCCACAAAGAAGCTATTTCTTGAAGCATATCTAAGGTGGATAGAAATGCGGGAACGTTTCCCTTCGTCGGATATAACCGACCCTCATGTATAATCGAGTGCACTCAACTCCGTGATGCACTACGCGTGTACTCCGGAAATTCGACGTCAGGTGTCTCAAAGCTCACTCATTGCGCTTTTCAAAACATCGAATTTCCGTTCAGACGGCAAATTTCCGAGACGACGTTCATCCTATTCGATTCAGTGTATTAATCCTCTCAGAGATACGCGATCCTCTCCGAGAGAAGATAACGAATATGTATAAATTAAGTTTTTTTTATCCAAGTAATGAACTAGTAAGAGCCAATAGAAGTGTTCCTCTCCGATTTTGATGAACTTTGAATATGTTATTTTCTAGACAAAATAAAGAACACATATTTCTTTTATAAGAACACTTTTAGAGGGTGCAATACCCCTTTGAAGAAAATCGATTATTCGGAAATTATCGAAACCGTAAGAGATAAAAAAAATATTTGAAATATAAAAGTTGAATGATAAAGAGTACTTAATAATTAAAATTTAAAAAATTTTCATGCTCATAAAAAAAGCTGGAGGGAGACACTTGGATTTCCTTGTAAGTAGGTAATGAACCGGATTTTGGATCTCCAGATCTGGTTCCAAATTTTCTCTAAGAATTTCTTTATACAAGCTTACAAATATCATTTTTGAAAATATACTTTAACGAATAATACTCATTACGTTAGTAAGTACGAAGTGTCTACTGTCGATCGACATCATCGTTGTCGTCGTCGCTTGTCGATGTCAAGTTCGCGGTGATGTAATTTCAAGTCCACGTGGACGATGACCGTGTTGCAGGCGAGGGTAGCGGTGGAATTGCAGCGGTGGTAGTGACTAATAGCAATAACTGTGGTTGTTGTGACGAGCAGCCGTGGCTTTCGATCGACGCGACACCGACTATAGGAAAACTATGCCCCTCGATGGCCTCCCGCAGGTTAAGACTCACCCCCGTTTGTCAGTACGACGCCGGTGGTTGTTGCTACTGCACGCAGCGGAAACGTCTCCTGCCTCTCATGTTTGAGCCACTTCCTCGATAACATAGACGGGGAAAATCGCGATTCTTTTAACCGAATCGAAAAAAACACACGTTGTTCGGCAGCGATGTGGGTGATCGTGTGCTAGCTGCGTGTTTCGAAAAGGTGCCAAGAGTTTTCCAGACGATACATGAAATTGCGAATGTAAGTGCATTTCCGTCGGCAGATTGTATCTACCGACTATACACTCGAGGACGTTATACGTTGGATTTAAGTTCAATAAGGCCTAAGTAATCTTTTCAATTATGAAAATCCTACGTGCTCTATTAGAGAGAGATGAGCGTTTTGTTGGAACTTATCTTTTTTTTCGGGTAATAATAAATGGAAAATAATGATTCTTGGAAATAATGGACTGATATTATCTCCTCCATATTTTTCTACAATTATATTCATTAAAATTCATTAATGCATATTATAATTTATTAATTGCAAATTATTAATCGGTAATAATTATTATTAATTATTAAAAAATATAATTTTGTGATATTTATTTAAAAAATCACATTTCTTCTCCACACACACACACACACACACACACACACACACACACACACACACACACACACACACACACACACACACACACACACGCACACATATATTATACGCGAGACGAGAGAAGTTTCTAATTATCGCGAATTAATAGCCGAGAGAATGAATATCAATTCGTGACATTTTCGTCAAATAATAAATTCCATCGTAGCAGAAAAAACACGGAAAAATGATATTGTATAAATTAATTAGAAGATAGAACTGTTGTTTTAATCGATCTTTAATTTTTCGAGCGACTTTTCTTGACGCGAATTAGACTCATTAGAAGTCTGTCTTTTAATGTGAGTTGTGCATAATATTTTCATTAGAGTCATTTAGTTTTTCTTGTTTGCTTTTACTTTCAACAAGATAGTAAAACATGATCTTCGAACGATGATATCATTCGTTGGAAGAAAAATTATTTCATCTCCCATCACTTGCAAGCATTGATGCAGGCCGGCGATTTCAATGCTTCAATAGAATGACTTTAATTAAGTCTTCAATTATGAAAGATTTATTACTCGAGAATCAAATTGAGAGATTTTGCTTGGAAAAAAACTTAAATTAATAGATTTTTTAGTCATAATAAGTTATATGTTACGTTTTTATTTATTCCTGAATTTATTATATTTATTACATCTATCAAATATCTTAAGTTTACTTATTATTAATTATTTATTTTGTACGTATTCATATTTTTTTATATTTATTTATATTTCAGTTTTCAGAAAAAATGATTTCCACAAAAATCAATTCTAGGACGCGTTTCGAGGTAGCTTTCGCTTTAATTGCGATAACTCTTAATTATCATCGTGAGCGAAGCTTGGCGAGGATTTGCAATCGAATCGAGTATAATGCACGAAAAGCCCATAATTAGTTAACCATTGAATGCGCAAGTGATTGCATAAATATTCGCATTTCAAATTTGCGCGTTTACCGGAAAGATCTCGACAAGATAAGCGTGATCTTAAATCTCACGATAAACAGCAGTTTACCCTAATATCTCCATCTTGTTTGAAAAGTATCTCAACGCCTTTTTTCTTTTTTATAATATTTACATATAATTTACATATATGTGTAAAATTGATACTTTCGGAATGTGACACCGCGTATAACCGACAGCTACTTGTTGATTATAAAAATTAATACTAAGATAATATATGTATAGACCCGGCAGGTTGACGAATGGTGCTGGTGAAAAATCCGTCCCCGACGCGCGGCCTGAGCCCCCAACGAGAACATGGAAACAACAGCAGGTCGAGAGGACGAAGAGGTGGAGGACGGGGCTCGCGAGGAAACAGTCCCGCCGAGCAAACTGGTTCTCGAGGAAGTAGTCCAGGAAAGAGCGGTAGCTTCGACACCAAGGGAAAGGGGAAAAATGTACTATTACACTCACGGGGTAACGAGTGAGTATTCTAGATGCCACTGTATGTTGAGAGGAACGAACGAGTCGCAAAATCGATCTAGACTGCTTTGTACCTGAGTTTTATAGATGGTTGTATTTCCGTTATCTGGCACACACTTTCTTTCGTTTATAAAGATTATCATTCATTGAAATTTCCACCGTTTAAGCTTGATGTCTTAATTGTAATCGCATGATAAATTATTATTTATTTTATTTTTTTAGTACATTTATTTTATTACATTTGTACACGAAAAGAACTGTTTTGTTGAAACATCTATAAATTTAGATAGACAGAATTTAAAATAATTTTATTGGATTATTAGAATATTTATGTAAAATGTTCAAGTTGGTTACTAGAATGTCAAAACTTTTGCTCGCGAATATCCTATATAATTATTTTGATGGTCCAATAAAATTATTTTCCGATTTGACCTACCTAAATTTTTGATCAGCAAAATCGTTCATTCCATGCATTTATATTTATGCTTGTAAAAATAACGTCTAATAACATGAATAACAAAATTCTGCCAAAGTTATCTGTAACCGTGAATTGTAAAAAATGCAAATATAAATAATAATGATATAGAGATATTGAATTTTCTTCTGAGAAAGATCTGACATTTTAATCTGCAAGTAGTAATTCTTTATACCAGAAAATGATTATAATTATCGAAAGATTTATTCGAACGATAAACTTATAAGTAATATCATCATCAAATCATGGTAAGAAATATAATTGTGCGTCTGTGCAGTATCTTTGATAAAATATATCACATTTTCCTGTCTAATAATAGATATGAAGGACAATATATCATTGAACTCAGGCGACAAAATTACTGTGAATTTGCTCGACCGAAAAATGTATGACCGAAATGGCGAAGCATTAACGGTAAAAATATTGTCGAAAAAAAAAAATTAATGATAACAGGCGAAAGAGTCAGAAATTGACAATTTATTTTGTATTCTGTCTTTATGAATAAATTAGAAAATTATAATTAAGTTTTTGTTACTTTTTATATCCATGTTTAATCCGAAAATTATATTACGTATGTTTTAATATATATCAATTTTATTCCGATAAATTTAAATAATCTATATATATAAATCTATGTAAACTTGCCAAAAAATATTCAAATTATCTCGTAAAATAATGTAATATATATTTCATTTTGTATTGAAATGTACATTTTTGGGTACATAATGATACTTGTATTGCAAGTTTTCGCATAAATTTCTCGTAAATTTTTTTGACAATGAAACGTACCAATTTATATAGTTGGAAAGACGATAAACGCTCGACGAAAAACCGCTTCGACAATCGATCGTTACGTGACAAGTTGAAGTGATATATTACATTCGCGCAAATATGCGTGATCGAAAAATTCGATTATCGAAACGTTATGTGCTTTATCGTTTTAATTTGTCGCGATAATATCAGAATGATTACGTTACATGCGAAATTAATAAATAAGCACGGAAGTTGACATAGATTTTATGCAAAAATATGTCAGTTGAAATTGACAGTTTTAATCAATGCTTAATATTTCATAATCAAGTGGCACTCGCGTTAAATAACTGCCACATTTTACTTATGTAAAAGAAACGATAGGTAAAGATAACAAAATACGTCACAAAACATATTATGTATGTTTTACTTAAGCTTAAAAAGAACTTAAGATAAAATAAAATGTGTACACAAAAATAGTAATAATAGAATAGAATAGAATTTTAATTAATAATTACATAATTTCATTATAAAATTGCAATTAGAGATATCATTGAAAAGTACCTATAAAAATGTAAATAATAAATAATATGAAAAGAGTTCAAAACTTTTTAAATAATATTAATAATTAAAGTAAACTACAATATTAATAATAATAATAATAGCTCTATTGAGAGTATGGATGACAATATAAAATATCAAAGAAATAATAACTATATTACAAATAATAGGCACTCGAGCATGCAAAGGTAAGGCTGAAGCTGAGTAGCTGGTTTGATGTCTGATTATTAGTACACAAGTATATATTAACATAATGGTATGTATCAATAAATTATGTAGCGCTTCACAACATAATGTTTGTAATATATAATTTAGCGTATTATTTTTCACGCTTATTTGTAGTTGATTTTCGAGATTATACGATCTCGCACAATTTCTCTATCGATTCGCGGTTCTGCAAGTAAGAAAATTGGCCTGACACGATAGATTTTCCTAGCTGGAAATCGTTCGGAAGATCTGGGACAAAGATGACACACGATGCGGCTATCAAGAAGGACAGTAACTCGCGCGCGTTTGCCACTTTTATTCGATTTTACATATAGAACACTTGTGTAAACTCCACCACGATCCGCATCGATACTAAGAATTCACACACGCACGGGCATTTCCACGTTTCCGGTATCATACACTTTGACATTGCTTATCGATTATAGGAACATTACTGTTTTTCTCTCGGTCTCGTACGGTCAATTTTATGTTGTTATGAAATAACACATATACATAATATTTTATTACATAAAATATAAATCGAAATAAATTATAGCCTATATTAAACTATTTTTATAGGATTTTTATTAAATTATTTATTTAATTCAATTACAATTTGAATTAATCTCACGTAATTTAATTTAATGCCTTTTAAAAAATGTTTAACATATTATAAGTATTATAGTTATATTTTGATAATATACTAAATTATTTTAATTGAATTATGTGAGTATGTATAATTAATATAATTTGAATGCAGAGTTTAAAGAACTCTTTTCAATAAAAATATATTTAAATCGCGCGTGCCAAAGTATCACACAAAAGATACAGTCAACGTAATATTACAAATGTTTTAATTCTTTGATTGATCAATCGAGTGCTTCAAAGCATTTGTAGTGAGGCTTTGACCGCACCCAAATTAAGTAATTTCCCAATTTCCCGATAGACTATGACAAACATATATCACGCAAGTCGCATATTAATAAATATTTTATGAAATATCACTCACTGTCAGTATGAGTGACGATCTATCACTGTAATGTTTTCTTTACAGTCCTGAATTTGCAATCGCGGCACGCGATTGTATTTGAATAACAATTGCGCATTTCATTTCACACCTACTTTCGCCGTGACCATGAAAGCTCATCTCCGCCATTTAAACACAATCGCGAATTTGTGTATATACACGTAAAATAAAATAATTTACATTAAACGTTAGATTAGAACGCTGAAAATGCTTACTATCATCTGAACTTGCGTTCTCCGCGTATCTTTCCAAATCTTGACATTCGAGAGAGACGTTCAAGCATTCTATTTCCAATGACTCGCATTATATACGAAAAAGAAAAAAGAGACGGACTGACGATAATATCAAAATAATTACACACGAATATATACAGGGTGGTCATTGTGATATCAACTATGACTATGGGAGGTCGCGTTGCAAGGTCCTGCAATCGATAAGCGACGTCGAACTGTATTGTAAATATGCGTATGTCTACTGTATTCATTGTATCGATCGTTCACATGTGTGTATGATTATAATATTGAGGAAGACACCAACGAGGGCGACATGAGTTTTTCTAGTGAACCGAGAGACTTTTGCGGTCGTCAAGTCTTATAGAAATCGTTCAAACACTTCCAACGTGCGCGACCGTATTCACATGTGACAATTACTTGTAAAACAACAAGCACCAAGTTACCTCGCATGTGAGTCGCGTATGTGTACATACAAAGAGAAATGTTATTCTGAATTCGTATCCCTTAGACGACCACGAAAGACCGTTTAAAGCAAATTAATTGAATTGAGAAAAAGGTGTAATTGAATGTACACCGCTATCGTACTCTTTAAAACTTTAAGAGTGAATCTCATTCTTAAAGATTGAAAATTGAGCTACTCTTTTTTAAAACTGGTTCAATTTTCGTTCTTTTAGAGTGAGATTCTATTCCAAAGAAATTAAAGAATATACATGAAACATAGAGACTTGTATTCAGAACGCGCTTTTATCGATAAATACGCGCTTTTATGTCTGAAGTTCTAGTATACGTAACATGAACTATATATGCTAAATACGCTCTAACATCATACAAACGCGTTCTAAATACGGGCCAGAACGTTTTAGTTTTTATACAATTATTTTCAGATAATTAATTATACATCATAGGTGCAGCTATATAGAAAGAACGCTTTTGCTGAAATATTTAAAACTTTAGTTGGATACAATAATTTTGTTTGGATCATCAAAACTTATTGTTATAGCAACAATTTATTTTCAGATCTATATCTGGCTAACTTTTAAGATACTTCAGCACAATCGTTTTTTCCATATACAAATGTGGAGAGAGAAAGGAAATGAGAAGTGTCCTTTCAATCGATTCGACGTTCTATGTAGTACATAAAAGCTCGAATGTCTACGCGAAGATCTTTAATTAATAGAAACTTTTATATAGGGAGATTTTTAATTATATAGAGTTTAAGTGGCAACGCAACGTACTTTGTATTCAAAGATAATTGCCTTTAATAACGTTGAAATGTTATCCATTTGTTTTTTATTTCAATAGTAATAAATAATTATTTATCGGATAGATAAAATCAAGAATAAGTCGTCCTTGTAGGTGTCTTTTTTGATATTAATCATATACACGTGGCCGATACAATGGATGTACGCACTTTTACAATATATAGTTCAATGTCGTTTATCGACTGCAAGGAGAGAAAGGGAGAATAGGAAGTCTTCTTTCAATAACTCTGAATAATTCTTACTTTCTGCGGGTCATTGTACTAATTTGTTATCATGGCAAATGCAAATCGTATTGTCTTTCGAAGATTGTAATCATCAAAGCGACATTTCGTGCCCAGCTATTCGATATTCGTCCATTCGAGGAAATAGTTTCAGCGTGGAATGACACAAACATATTGAGTACGAGATTTACAGGATATTTCGTATTCCGTAACGAGAACCTCTCAAGAATCGCCGTTTGCGACGTGTAATCGATCGGACGATCTGATATTTACCAACATCGTTGTTCTAAATCATTGAGGAAGGTCTCTCGGAATGCCGCGGCGTTCCAGATGAAAAAGAAATCGCGCCTGGATAATGCGGCCAAACACGCGATCGACTCGCGACTCGATACGGTTCGATTGGTGTCTTATGAATTATAAGGGATGGCCGCCCGATTAGAGGTCAATCGAACGATTGACTGAACATTTCCGCATCGGACATTTACGATTGCGCATTCATGGAACGTCGTTAATTTACGGAATTAGATCGGTGGTCGTGATGTTTAATAATAGAAACGGTAGCTATGTATGTGATGATAATAACCGCAGCTGTGCTTGACGTCCTATGTATATTTTTTAACATGTACATTTTTTAACATAAAAGAATGTCCATGAAGAAATCTTTAACTACAGCAACTTTTATATAGGAATAATTTTTAATTATATAGAATTTAAATAACAATACACAGCGTACTCTGTATTTAAAGATGATTGCCTTTAATAATGATGACTAATATTACTCACTTTTTTAATTTTAAAGATAATAAATAATTATTTATCGGGTAGATACAGACAAAAGTTTTAAATTTTACTTTAATTTCTGCTTCTTAAACATTTTACATAGATAAATTATATTTATATGCGTCAAGTCTTGAATTTATTAATCGTTATTGCTCTTTAAAAATTGAATTTATTTTTCATTAATACATATTAATAATAGATCTCAAAGATTACGTCCTTTCAGGGCTGGCAGCATTGAAAGATTAATAGACGGCGATAAGCGGATAATTGCAACGAAGCATCTACTTCCAGAAAATAATATAAATGTCGTCGTCAGGTATTTAGTTTGATTCATATCGGTTGATTTAAAATGACTTAAAATTATTATGACGTCTATTTTCTCTTTTTCTTATAGAGTTCGTCCGCTCAGTAATAAGGAAATTAAATCCGGTGACGAAATGGCCGTGCAGTTTCCTGGTGATGGACAGATATATGTAAGTGTAAAAATTATATTGTCCATAAAATGATCTCCGTATAGCATAAACCTTCAAGAAACGTCTCAAAGACATTCAGAAATGTCCTCTTACGTCTTAAAGACGTTTAAGAATGTCTTGCCTTGGATAAAGAATGCTATGTGGGGGAGTCTGTCCTCTCATTTTGTTCGGTCTACATTTTTCGATTTCTGAAGTCAAGTCAAGTTTTGTCTACACATTTTTCCATGCCATTATTGACGACGTTTCCAATAGTCAAGTTAAACATAACACGTTAATACGTCTTTTATCTTGCAGTGCGACGCGGTTACGAGCAGCGGTGATAAAAAGCCGAAGGTATTCTCATACAATGTCGTTTTTGAGCCAAATGCTACACAGGAGGATATCCTGCAGTACTCCGGTATTAAAAACCTCATCGAAATGGCGGTAGAAGGCTTTAGCTGCACCGCGTTTTGTTACGGACAGACTGGAAGTGGCAAAACGCATACCCTGACTGGACCTCCGAGACTCGTAAGCGAAGAAAAGAAGTCACCATTTTGTTATGGATCTTTTTTAAGAAATTATTTTCAATTGTGTGATCTTTTATTTTGTGTTTAGCAATAATGCAAATAAAAAACATGACAAATTCTCATCATAACGTAGATCCCGTCCTAAATATTAATTTCCATATTTTTTGAGATTTTCGAAACAATAACGAAAAAAATCGTAAGTTATGCGAAATGCTTTTTTAATTGTATCGAAGCACATACTTCCACATAATGCAAAAGACAATGCGATACGTAATATGGTGACGTTAGTGATCAATATCTACATAGCTAGTCAGAAGGTTAAAGTTGATTGTCTTTCGTAGATAAGATAATGCGTTTCAAGTTACACGTAACGTCTCTTCTTGCAACTAAACGTAACAATGAAATTTCGATAGGTCATATCTAAATAAAAAGCAACACTTTCAAATGATCAATAAAAAGTACGTTTGAGGAATAAATAGAGAACCGTATGTGAAAAATATCTTGCTGAAATATATATTTCGTAATTATTTCTCGCGTAAAAAAATATAAAGAATTCGAAACATACAAAAAAAAAAGAAACGGAGAAAGCTTTATTTGTTATCCGTTTATTTGAACGTTATAAAAAATATATATTGATGAACTAATTCATATTTATTTATAATTATTTATTTATTTAATAATAATGAGAGAATGCTGTAATAATATATTTCAACGAGAGTAATTTCTTTAATTTTAAATAACACAATTTAGCTAATATAAAGTAATTGCAATTATTTTAATATATTTGATAATGAAATAAAACATATATATTAGAATTTTTATCTATTTAAAAGTTAATTAAGATCTTAACTTTATACATTAAATCATGCTGTGAAATTAAACTAATTCATTTTTACATTATATTTTTTTTATGTTTATAAAGTTAATTTAATAATTTTTTATAACAGTTCGACAAAATGGATCCGTACTCGGAGGACCATGGTCTGGTCTTCCGTTCCTTCGTCTACCTATTCAAAGTCCTTCAAGAACACGAAAAGTGCAATTTTGTGCTGAAGGCTTCCTTCCTGGAAATCTATAACGAGAAGGTTTGTCTTTAAAAATGATAACATATTGTCTAAGTAGATAATACACTAAAATAAGCGTCTATTTTTTAATTATCATAAGAAAAGATAAACTTTTTCTTTCATTTTATACGTGTAAAATAAAAACAGCTATTATTATCGTCGCAAAGAGTAAATTCTGTTATAAAAATGATGATAATATACAAATAAACGAGTATGAATAAATAAATAAATAGGTGATAGATCTCTTAAATCCCGGCACTTCGAGAAAACCTTTGGCAGTTCGATGGAGTAAAAAGACGCGCGGATTCTTTGTCGAAAATCTCTTCACGGTGGAATGTGAGGAACTAGACGATCTTTTGGCGGTTCTCGAAGAAGGTAAGACTAAAAAATAAGCGATTTCGTCATGGAAGTCATAAGATTCCATCCAGTAAATTTTTAAATTATTTTTATACGACTTTCTCTGGCATTATAATTATAATAACATCTAAAATTATATTTTCTTCTAGGTGATATTTATTGTATTTATCAGATTTTTAGAATTCCATTGTGCAAAGATCCAGTTTTCGTTATTCTTATTCCGAAATTGGAAATCAATTGGAAATTGTGGAATGTTGTTTATAATGTGGTTTATAATAATCATTGTTTTTATAGGAATGAGAAATAGATCGATCGGTACGCACAATATGAACGAATATTCCAGCAGAAGCCATTCAATTTTGACTATAAATATAACTTCTGAGCAAGCAGTAAGTGAATACGATATTTCGAGGTATTATTCATATTTCCCTTGAGACGAAGATGAAAATACACTCAAAGATAAGCGTTGAAAACATCAGAACAACATATTGGTTTTTCTGCCGCTTATTAGGGCTAATAAAAGTTAAATTTATTTCACTGCCACTTTGCATCGTATAATCATTCGCTTACATTAAAAACAGTAGATATACGAATAACTAGTACTCATCTCTCAACAAGACAAAATTAACTCCATCGTCGACTAATTTATACCGTCATTTCTCGTTGTGCGATCCGAATTAATTTATAACGAAGGCTAATATAACCATCTCTCATGTCGATAGATGGAGAACGGTGTGTTTATCTCGAAACAAGGTAAAATTAATTTCGTGGATCTTGCCGGAAGCGAAATGACGAAGAAAACCCAAAGTGAGGGCAAAACCTTGGAAGAAGCGAATAATATTAATAAAAGTCTCATGGTATTAGGTGAGTCCTCGTATCCTAATTAATTATATCGAGCTGTGTGTAGAAAAAATTGTCGTTCCTTTAACTCGAAATATTTTTTGATGTCCGAATTGAAAGAACGATAATTTTTTCCATATAACTCGATAATTAAAATATATAAAACTTGTTTATGTTACAACCGATACTATATAGGCTTGTTTTTTGTTGCTGAACTGCATTAAAACTTTCCATCTCGTTTTCATCAAACTTCAAATATATATCTGTTTCATTTTACAAGTGTATACTTAGTTCAGCCACAAAGAACAGCCCTATTGTAAACTATAATAAAAATTGCGTCACATTTCACTATCATTTTACTATAAATAGCGATAATAATTCATTTATCAGAAAATTAGATTAGATCTTGACTTTGAAATTGCAGCGCGTTTATTATTTAGAATAGTTGAAGTAATCGATAGCTAGACTATTAAATTACTGACATGTGAAAAGACGTGCCTTCCATATATGGAAAATAATCAATAAACTTTCGCGATAACGGTCGTGAAACAAAACAATAAGAAGTTTTTCGCAAAAAGTCTCCCAGGTAGTACATTTCATAAAATCATCCGAGGAAAGCACGATATTTTTTATTTATGATTTCATCAGATATCTAACTTTTTAAATTTGAGTTTTTCTCGTAGAAGGATAAGTGTCACTTGTATATTTTTCACAGGATATTGCATTGCTTCCTTAAGCGATGGAAAACGGAAAAGTGGTCATATTCCTTATCGGGATAGTAAATTGACAAAGCTTTTGGCCGACAGTCTTGCTGGAAATGGCGTTACGTTAATGGTGAGTTGATAAGTGGATTTTTGTAGCAAATTGGTTCGCGATTGATAACGATGTTTCCAAAAAATGTTATTAATATTGTTTATGCGATAAATGTGCCAATAATGTAAATTCCAATTCATTCAGTTTTTGCAATTGTAACTTTACTATTACAATATCGGTCATTACATGTTTAGGTTGCCTGCGTTTCACCGGCTCGTTCGAATGCCAGCGAAACATTAAACACTTTGAGATACGCTGCGAGAGCCAAAAAGATCTCCACAAAGCCTATTATAGTGATGGTAAGATCATTTGCTTCGAATAGATTTTAGAAGGGATTTTTAAATGCCTGACACTCATTTCTTTACAGGATCCACGCGAAGCTCTTATTCTCAGTTTGAAACGTGAAGTGGGGGCTCTTCAGACCGAAAACGACCATTTAAGGATGACTCTTCATCTCAGTAACGAAGCTCAAAATATGCATCGCAGCGAATCGAAAAGTATTATTAGCATATAATTATCTTGTTATTCATTTTTTATTGATAATATCACGATTATAATAGACATATACAGGGTGTTTCCAAATTAAATGGCAAAACTTCGGGAGCGTGTAGAGGAGTAAAAAACTAAGAAAAAAAGTCCTATAGACATATGCTCGTTTTTGCTCCGTTTCAGAGAAATCGAAAAAAAATGTTTACATTTCTTGCCATATCTAGCACCGACATATTTGATTACATTTTCCACTTTCTGTTATGAATTTGTCAGTCGCTCTTTGAAAGCCTTTAACAGTAGATGAATTTTGTCTTTTGCAATATGCCGCGTACGTATTCTAATAGTGAATATGCTGATATGGTTTTTGTATACGGTTTCTGCAACGGTAATGCTTTAAAGGCGGTGCGAGAATATGCACGACGATTTCCAAACAGAAGAGTGCCAAACCGAAGAGTGTTTATGTTGACATTTAATAGATTGCGAGAGACTGGATCATTTTCAATTCGACAAGAAAACAACCGATTTCAAGCAGCGTTACGAAGAGATTTGCAGGCAGGGAATCGTATTTTACAACATTTTGACAATCATCCTGAGACCAGCGTTCGGAATGCGTCGGCTGTATTGGGAGTGTCACCACAAACAATTTGGCGAACTGTAAAAGGAGATAATCGCTATCCCTACCACATTCAAAAAGTGCAAAATTTATTACCTCAAGATCATTGGAACAGATTGAACTTTTGTAACTGGTACCTTCAGACATGCCACAATGATATTTTATTTCCATCTAAAATAATGTGGTCAGATGAGGCAACATTTACCAGAGGTGGAATAATTAATCAAAGGAATTATGGGCTCATCAAAATCCCAGGTCTGTTAGAGAATACAAATTTCAGCAAGAGTTTTCTGTTAATGTCTGGCTTGGAATTTGGAACGACGTTTTAGTGGGACCGTTTTTTTTACCTGCAAGATTAAATGGGGACCGTTTTCTAAATTTCTTGGAGAATGAATTTTCTGACTATTTAGAAAACATCCCATTACAACAACGTACTGAAATGTGGTTTCAATTAGATGGATGCCCTGCTCATTACAGCAGAGTCGCTAGAACCTGGTTAGATAGAAAATTCCCACAACGATGGATTGGACGTGGAGGAGCAGTACATTGGGCAACTCGTTCGCCCGACTTAACGCCATTAGATTTCTATGCATGGGGTACTCTGAAGCAAGAAGTTTATTCTTCGCCTATTCAATCAGAGCAACATTTGAGAAATCGTATCGTAGCTGCAGCGAACAGAATATCGCAAGAACAGTGCCTGGCTGCTACAAGAGCCGTGTTTGACAGATGCAATGCTTGTATTGCTGCAAGAGGTGCACATTTCGAACAAAATCTTCATTAAAAAGTTTATAAATAAAATAATTAAAATAATAAATTAAATATATTTTTTTCTTTTTTCGTGATTTCCTGCGAAACAAAGCAAAAAGGAGCATATGTCTATAGGACTTTTTTTCTTAGTTTTTTACTCCTCTACACGCTCCCGAAGTTTTGCCATTTAATTTGGAAACACCCTGTATAATCTATATGTCTATAGTTATGATAAACGCGAGAAATAATTCAAACTATTGGCGTAATTTTTAAACAGTAAAAAAAATTAGTATAGGAATTTGTTTTGCTAATTGTTGAATCTTCTACGTATATCAATTTAAAAAAAATCTTAATCACTAATGAAGAAATGAAGAATTAATGAATGAACAATTTAATAAATTAAATAAATAATAATGTATACACAAAAATAATATTTTAATAATTTCATGTTAAAATAATAATGATAAATCGATTAAACCAATTGCTACTTTCAAAGATTAGAATAATAACTCGTTGACGATTTCTTTTTTTCTGTTATCCTTATCGATTGTTTGCAGGCGAAAGATTGATACCCGTGTCACCGCCACCGGTGGATCTCGAGAAATTAGCTGAAATGGAGAGTTCGGAACTGAGCCAGTTGATCCAAGCATACATCACCGAAAACGAGGCACTACGACGAGAGAATGCGGAGCTCTATGCCACGCGGGATCAAGTGATACGGGACCAGGAACTCGTTTGCCGGGAAAACGAGAGGCTGCTCAAGAAACTTGAGGACGTAAACTTGTAAGTCAATCTGAATGATATTTTCAATGCGAGTGTTCAAGATAAATATTCGAAACATATATGTTATTATTAGTGCTTGCAGACAAATATTCGAAATATACCTATATTATTTTTTTGGGCCTTTCGTATTATGTTTATATTTAAATCGAATCTTTTAAGAATATTCTCTACAGCTTCTTTCAGTAGTATCGAAAGATTTCAAGAAATTTAAGAGAATCACGCGAGCTTATACACGCGACTATCCTGCGTATTTCATGTACAAAATGTTTTATGAAATTAATGATTAAAATGGTTCTGTTTGAATTTTCTATACCTAAATTTATTTAATGCGATTCGGTTGTCCTAGTTCTTTTTTATTAGACTTAACGCTTTGCACTTGGCGAATCTTTACAATAAATATTTTATGATATTTTACAGAGTTTGTTGCCGATCGCCCATAATACCAGCGAGACCTTCGTACTCGGCGGAATTATTTTTGAATGACAACAACGAAGACGTACCTGGTGCAACTAACGTTTGGACGAATCCGAATGCTGCTCCTAGTCCGGTGTATTCCTTCTCCAAGGTACGATCGAAGTTGACCTGAAACGATAATCTGTATTTGATGAAAGAATTAAGTCACACTAAGAAGAAAAGTTTTTGATATTTGTGTATGAAAAAAAACAATTTCGTATCTAAAAATTTAGATAGATTTGAAAATAATTTTGTTGAATCATCAATAATTATATAGAAAATTCAAACATGATGAGCAATGCGCTGTAAAAGTTTTAACATTCTAGAGCAAGTAGTTTAAACATCTTCTATAATTATTTTAATAGACTAATAAAATTACTTTTAGATCTGTATCTAGCTTAATTTTTAGATTTTGTTTCAGCGAAATCGTTATTTCCGTAAGACTATAATTACATGATACCACAATTATGACTATTATAGTTATTATTTAAATATAATTATTATTACTATTATAATATCCATAATTATGATATTATATAAAAATTATAAAAAACTTTTTTTCAATATATTCATTGAACTCTCTCTCCTCTAGTCTCACATATTATAAAATAATGTGTGAGACTAGAGGAGAGAGAGTTCTCGTTAGATTAAAAGTTTATTAGATATCACTGTGTTTTAAGACTTCACTCCATGCTATAAATATACCATACATAATATTCTCAATTTTGCTATATATATCTTCTCTTAGAATACTCTTGGTAGTGGATTGTACATATCAGCTAGCAATATGCCAGAGAAGGTACTGAAGGAGCTCGACAAGCGCAGGATTGTCGGCAGTTACAATAACATTGCCGAAGCCTACAAGGACAAGAACAGTCACCGTCGACACAATTCATGGGACAACAGTAATCGGCCTATGATCAGCCCAGAACAAAGAATCTCGCCAGTTGATATAAATCAGTAAGTGATTTGATCTTAATGTTATCTAATTTATTGATTAATCTAAGGAGTAAGTTTTTTAATACATAACGCCTTATTTACACATTATATTATTACAATAATTCAATAATTATTTATATAATTTAGTATTATAGTATAATCTTTTTTGCAAAAAAAATTTATGTAAATATTTATTTTTCTCTGATTTTGTTGTTATATAATATTATTATATTTTTATATATATATATATACATCATTATATATTTATTTTAAAAAATTATATACATATATATATAATTTATTTCTTTTTTAACTTTAAAAGAAATATTTTCTAGAGATATATTTCTTGTGTGACTGAGTGAATGTAAATGTACTTCAAGCTTGTAATAAGAAGCTTACATTGAATGATCGTATCGAATTGCATCAAACGTGATACTTAGCAAACATGTATCTCCATACTTGCGATGAAAAATTTTGGAAATGTCTTTTCGAAAAAAAGTTCCATATCTAATTATTATTTCGAGATGCAACGACTGATATGGAATCTCAACTAATGTTTTAATTTAAAAAATGACAGAAAAAGTCTTCATCTAATTGTAAGTAAAATATGTTTGTCATATTGTTTTTGTTCGGTTTTTATATTAAACAAAGCATGTTTTGCAGATGTTTAAAATTTACAAACGATTCTGGGGAATGTAAAAAATTTTATAATTAATCTCAAAAAAATTTGGAATCCGATTATATATAAGCTATTTATATTTCGAGAGATCTTAAAGATCTGAGACAAGAGTTTTCTGAGTTTTATCTCGCCGAGAACATCCTGTCCCAAGCAACACAATTTAAAATCGGGATAATAATTTCAGATG